ATTTACTGAATGAAAACAAATACATTCAATTAATGGATTGACAAATACATGTCAAACGAGCCCTGGGCCTTTTCATGGACCCTGAACCCAGTAACCTGGCCTGCTTTTCATCTGCTCTTATGATCAAATACTAGGACATCCTCACTCTAGTTTCCAGACGATTTTGACTTTAGTTCTTTATGCACAAAAGACCACTATCAGCACATCTATTCTTTCATCTGAGTTTGAGAGGAAAAAGAAACTGAAAAGGGACAAATATCACTTTTCATCTATTTCTCAGAAGGAACAGAATCAATTGAACAGGATGTACATAAGGGCAGGCACATATGTGAGAGTGTGTGTGTATTTAGGAGTGGTATGGAGAGACTGTGAAGTTATTTTTTTCTATAGGAGACTAGAAGACACACCCTGGCTAGAAAGCACAGTGGCAGATTATCTCCTAACACAGACAGAGGGTAAAAGGAGCACAGCTTTAAAAAAAAGCCTATTTCCACCATTCACTACTCCTATCTCCAGATGCCCTGTGGGTCAGGGAGGGTAGAGCCAGGTTTTATGCTATTCCACGATAGAACACTGCTACACTGTTCGAGCACTTATAATTTGAGCCCCAAATGATATCAAGCAGTTAAATATATGTGCAGTTAGAATACCAAAAGGAGATAAGAGAGAGAGAATGGGACAGAAAAAAGTATTTGAATAATAATGACAGATTTTTCTTAATTTGATGAGAAGCAGAAATTTGTGGATACAAGATTCTAAATGAACGCCAAGCAGAATAGACACAAAAAAGTCCATGTTGATGCACATCATAGTCAAATTATTGAAAGCCAAAGATAAAGAGCAAATTTTGAAAGCAGCAAGAGAAAAATATTACAAATTATATATCAATAAACAATGACCCAACCAACAGCCGACTTCTCAATAGAAACCGTGATGCCAGAAGAGAATGGAAAAACATGTTTAAAATACTGCAAGGGAAAACAAAACAAAAAAGCAAAACCTGGTCACCCAGAATTGTATATCCAGGGGAAATATCATTCAAATATGATGGCAAAATAACAACATTTTCAGGAAAAATAAAACTAAGAGAATTTGTGGCCCACAGACCTGCACTATAAGAAATACTAAAGGAACTTCTTAAGACTAATAGGAAATATTATCAGATGGAAACTCTGATCCTCAGAAAAGAATGAAGAGCATCAGAAATGATAAAAATCTGGGTAAGCCAAAACTATTTTTGTTGCCCAAATATTTTATAAAGTATTCATTTCTTTATAAATTATCTGTTTAAAATTGAAGTAATAGCACTGTCTTGGGGGATCTATTACTAGTAGAAGTATTACATAAAATATGAGCTCCAAGTTCTCATGCCTTTCTACTCTATAAGATAATGTATTTATCTTATGGAATGCTTGTAGTCTGGAACTTCTGCTTTGATCTATTCTAGTCTCTTCCCACCACTGTAGGTTAGTTTTGAAGGTAGACCAGGTAGGAATGGCATGAAGGATGGAATCTTTGAAAACTAACAGAAGAGGGAGATTGATGGAACATAAAATATATATGGTTGAGGAGGAAGATCAGCGCTTGGAAGGAAAACAGATTGAGATTAAATGCCCCCATGGTAAAAGCTAGGTTACCTGGAACAGACCTAGGAATCTATCCTAGATTGTGGCAGAACTAGGGGAAGAGAAATGTAACATACCTATCCCCTCCCTGACCTCCCAACCTTCTCACCCTACACTAATTACTAATTTTGTCTAGACAAGAATGTTTCTATGTATTAAGTAAGTCTTAGCTCCTCCAGGTATTTGATCTCCAGCTTGTACTGAAGACGAACAAGAGGTAGTAGGATTTGGGAATTACTAAGGAGGGGATTTACAGAATCAGTTCCAAGACCTGCCTTATGTGAGAAGAGGAAGTCAAGGAACTGGGATGATGGATGCATCACTTATGTGAATCATAAATACTGAAAGACACTAAGGATGATGAGGATACCAGGTGGAGAGGACTGACTGCTCCAGGTGTTGAAATTCTTGGTGAACCTATCAAGTGCCCTGGAAGTTGGCAATGATAGGAATGAGGATAGAGTATGGGTGTAGCTGGTGTTGTAAGCCTCAAAGAAGAAGGGACTTTTGCATGTGAGTGGAAAACAATCATCTGGAAGCAGCAAGAGGAGCAAGGAAAATCTTTCTCTGGCCACTTCTAAGGTCTGTGCTTCCCTCCTATATTCCATTCTTTATCTTGTTGAATAGAACTACCATTACCTACGCCTACCCAGACACCTGAGAATCCTTTACTCCTCCTCCCTCATAACTTAGGTCTAAATCACCAAATGCTTACTATTGCCCAAATTCATCCCTGAATTACATAAGGTAGGAGGTATGTCTGAGAAAGGATAGATGACTGGAGGTTCTTCTATTATGGGCTGTGACAGAGTAGGATAGGATAGACAAACTGGCCTCAAAGTTCTGAATGGAACCCTGGGATATAGTTGTTTTAGTGATTAGAACACTTGTAAGCATGTATATAGGACCTCAGTTTCCATCAGAGATTGTTAGCTTATTTTAGGGAGACTTTTTAATGTTTTTTCTTTATTCGCTTATAAACATCTCTTTCTACAAACTCAATTTTCGTCCAACTGAGGATTTGGCATCTCCTTCAGAAAGAAAGAGGACTCAGGGTGAATTGCACCAGACCCAGAACCCCAAAACACAAATGACAGTGGTCAAATGATGGGAGGAAATGGAGACTATCTATCAGAAATAAAATATAGGTTTTACCTTACAGGCCAACTCTCTGGAGCACTACATTGAGAAGGATTCTGAGGCTTAGACTCTTGAATAAGGGCTCCTAAAGAGAATACAATTAATTTGTACAGTCTGAAATGGGAATGAGACCATGTGCTCAAGAATGCTTGGGTGGTTTGATTGCAGATGGGGACAGATTGATTGGTCCCCAGCCAGCAAGGGACCTACCTCCTAGACTGATACTAAGGAGTCAGGCTTCTCTGTGTCATTGAAGCTCAGGACCTGCCTATCAGGTCTTGGTCAGGTCCTAATCGAAGAGTGAGGAAAAACACTGAGTGTGAGAGCGGGAAAAGCCTGTTTATCATCACTGATGTTTGCTTAATTTCTCATGAGTTGGCTAGCCAGTTCAGATAGGCCCGGGCTTTGGAGCCATCCCCTCTCAAGCCAGCATTGCCACTGTCGCCTGCCCCAACATGTAAGTAATGAAAGGAAATCATAGGATTATTTGTTCTGTACAGATTTCCCCTGTGCCAGTAGAACTCATGGGGATATGAATTTTGTATTCTGGACCAGCCCCTGCCCTGCCTCTAAAAGACAGCAGAAAACTTGGGTCTTAGATCCTATTTTATTAGACTCATTAGTAATTACTAACTCTTCCTCTACCCCAGAAAAAAAAAACCAAAACAAATAGAAAAACCTTTTCCTTGAAGGAGTGTCATATCAAAGACATGCCTGCCGGATACGGTTATGTCTTGAGTTGAAGTTTGGTGTTTTGTGAGGAGACCAGGAGCTGTAAGGGGAGAAAAAAATTCTGAGTTTGAGCTTCATCTGAGGGGTGGCTATGGGGTGGGGTAGAATGTTTAGCTTCTGCAGGTACACGGGCAGGAGAGTTTGGGGTGAGAGAATACGGGGGTGTGTGTGAGGGGTAGAAGACGCTCCTCGTTGGCCCCTTTTGTGTGTTATGGAGAAGGATGAGGAATGGTAAATGGATGACCCTTGGGTATAGTTAACTCCTTCAGAGGTCCCTGAGAAACGTCCAAAAGGCCTGTAACAGATCCATGAACAAGGGTGGGAACAACCTCCTTCCCATATCCCACTCCCCAATTCCCAGGGAACTCGGTCCCCCCACCCCCATCAGTGAAGAAACCTTCAGTGAGTGAGAAGGTTCCAGAGAGAGCCCCAGGCGCAACAGGGATGTGCTGGGCACCGCCGGGCCCTTTTCAAAACCCTGGGGTCTACTGTGGCAGGAAACGCACCACCCAATCTCACCATGTCACCTCGGGGAGGAGGAGCCAGGTGGGTCGTCGCAGCTCCAGGAAGAGCTGCCAGGTCCGGGGCTTCAGGGCCTCCCCAAGGGAAGAGAGGAGCGCTCTGACCAGGCCCGCGGGGTCGCACACCGCCGGGGCTCCAGGGGCGAGGAGCCGCGCCCGGGCAGTTTCGGGCCCCCGAGTGTGGGGAGCCGGTGCCCGGCAGCGGGCGGGC